GTATTTCTGAGAATCCAATGGAAGAATATTTTATTACATAGTAGAAAATAAGTGATAATTTAAAAGAGAGACATGGCCATTTTGTATCTTTTAACTTTTAATAGAGAGCAGCAAAACTGGATTCACTCTCAGATAGGTGGTCACTCCTTACCATGGTATCAGAGCTGTCTCAGATATACAATAGCAGGCTCACATTTGGTTAGAGCCAACGAATGATCCTCCCAAGAAAGACCTTAGCCAGAAAGAGGTTTAAAACAGTAGATTAAGAAGTTTTTTTGTTGTTTTTTTTTGTGAAAATACTGTACAGAGGGGTTACAATTACTTGAACAAGATAATGAGTACATTTCTTATCAAGCATTGTAGCCTTCTCCTTTGTTTCCCCTTCCTATCCCATCCTCCCCCCACCCCCCCCCACCCAACCCTCCCCCCCCCCCCACCAAAGTTGTAAAGTTCGTTTTTGACATAACGACTTGTACGTCTCATTGTTGCAATGGGTCCACCTGTATCCCTATTTAAACAATTTGTTTTTCCTTTCCCCTCCACAAATTATACCAACATCAAATACAGTGAAAGCAGGGATTATACCGTGGGGGAGGGACATACAAAGCAACAAAGAAATAATCTTATAAATGTGTTAGAAACAGTGGCATGAAAGAAAAAAAAAACATTTGAATACATATCTTAGGGTTCGTTTCCCTAACAGAAGTTTTTTTAAAAAAAAGTTTTTTTCCTTTGTTCTATAGTGAATAAGAGCAAGAATATTTGTAAATTTGTCTCATGTTTGATAGAAAGCAGATACTATATTGTATAAAGTTGAGGAATGTAAGTAAGACAGGCTCAAGTAAGGTAATCTATGTAATGATTGGTGAATTGGGAAATAACTTTAAAATTTTTGCAAATTGTCTCTGTCACACTTGTTTTGCTTCTTCTTTGTGGTTTTCTTAGGTCACTGGACCTATTTGGGCTGGGGAGAGCAGCAAAGTACGTAAGAATTTCAATTCCTTATAATTTTCTTCATGATACACTTTCATGTATTCCCTCTAGAGTCTAGGCTGTGAAGCTGGATGTTCATGTGTACAAGCATGTATAACTCCATGCTCCTCTCCTCTCCTCTCCCACTTAAATCTCAAGAGAGAATTACCTGTAGTGGAGTGATATATCCTTTAAGGCTGGATTCTTGATGACTGTGTATGTGTGTGTGTGTGTGTGTGTGTGTGTGTGTGTGTGTAAGTGCAAGTATAAGAAAGAATAATTCCCTCCCCTTCAATCTTTACCTGTTGAAAACTCATACTTCTTTCAAGCCATCTCCTCTAAAAAGCTTTCCCTTCCTGACCTGTGAAGAAGTGAACTTATTCCTTTCAACTCATATAGGGCCTGATTTATGATATTCTTAGGCAGTAAGTTCCTTGTATCCTTGTATAACAATTCAAATATTTATGATTATATTTTTGTTCTCCTATTAGATTGACTTATGGTCTGAATACCTCATGTTGTGTAGCCTTGTGTGTATAGACATTCACTATTCAAATGAATAAATGTTCACAGTCTTGAAATTTCTGTCTTGCAAATAGACTTTGCCAGGGGCTTTTCAACTTCTCCCTTTAAACTAGCTCATTAATCCCTCTATAAACTGAATAACCAAACCTGTACTCAGCTAATTTCTTTTTCTATAAAGCCATGAGTTTAAAACCTGTATATACCTGGCATGGTGTAGTATAGATTGTAGGGACAGTAAAAGATAGTGATACCCTAAAACAATTCGTTAATCAAGCTCCAGTGTTAACACATTTTCCTTAGTTTTCTCTTTAGTTCCTAATTACTTTTAGTAGTGCTAGGAGTTTTACTTTCTAGGAAAACTGAGGTGGTTTGGAGAAAGAAAAAGCTGGCCTTTGACTTTCCCTACCTTTCCCCCCTCTCAACTTTTTCTCTCCTTTATTTCACCTCACTTATTTTCTTTCTGATTTTTATATTCTTTCTTCTCCCAACCTCTTCTTTCCATGAATCCCTTCTTAGTATTTGTCCTTGATTTCTTCTGTACAGAAATGTTGGTAGACTTTAGGAAGGGTGTGGAGTATTCCTCCCCTCATTAAACAAAATGATGAGGATGAAAATGAAGAAGAAGAAGATGATGATGATAAAAAGCAGAGCTCTATTTAGGACTAATAGATCAAATGCTGTGAGAAAATAATGGTCTGTCCAAGTAGTTTCTGGCTTTGGATTATGGGCTCTTAGCTCTGGCTGAGCTACTTTCTCAGTGTCATAGCCAAGAGAATGGTCTATAATTGTGGCCTCTTTGGAGACTCAATCTGGATGCTCTGATTTATGAGCTAAAACTTGTCCTGGTGAGTCTTTTTATTTTGTCTCTTTTGTTGTCTCTGTCCCCTAATGTATGTTTGTTAATAGTCTGACTTCTTCTATAGATTCAGTAAGAGTTAAGTATGAGTGTCTTATTGCTTTTGTCTCTTGATCCTTTCTTTCTGTGCTTCAGAATAAGGAGTATATCAAGGGCTATAAACATGCCCCCAAAGTCTTTTCCCTAATGTGGCAACAGAATGCTTTGTAAACAGAATGCTTTCTATTCCTATTTTATGACTTTGTTTACACTCTTTCCTATACTTGCCCTAGTCAAAGGACTAGCTTCCTAGTTTCTTCTTTCTTTTTTTTAAATATATTTTTATTTTCTTTAAGTAGATGTACAAAGGAATTGCCATTCAACAGATCACTTTATGAATGCATAGTTTCTTTTTCCCTTTTCTCTTTCTCTTTCCCTTTCCCTCCCTCTCTCATTCCCTCTCCCCCCTCTCTTTCTTTCATAGTACTGAAGCTTAAAGTCAGGACCTCACATTTTCTTGCTTGTCTGGCGCTCCACCACTTGAGCCATGCCTCCAGCCCTGCCTTTTTCTAGTTAGTTTTGTTTTTTGAAGACAGAGTCTCAAGGACTTTTCTTCTCAAGCTAGTCTTGAACTACAGTCTCAAAGATATTACCTTCTGAGTAGCGGAGATTACAGGCATGAACCACAGACACCTGGCTGACTGTTTGCTGTAACTGGCAAGTATTAACAACAATTGGTCCTGGCCATATGAAGGTTGTCTTTTTTATTATTGTGAAAATACTGTACAGAGGGGTTACAATTACATGGGCAAGATAATGAGTACATTTCTTATCAAGCATTGTAGCTTCCTCCTTTGTTTCCCCTTCCCATCCCTTCCCATCCTCCCTCCCGCCGGTTGGCTTCTTTTTTGTGCTGATTTTTTCTTCCTGGAGTTTTGATTATATTTCTCTCCTTTTAAAAAAATATTCTCATCCTGCTATAAAATCAATAGGGAAATCCCACAAGGTTTCCTTTTTACCTTGATCTGTGGCCTCCCTTTGTTGTTATAAACTCAAAGAAGAAAGACTTAAAAGATGATCTTATTCCTATGCCTTAGCTAATCCCAACCCACAGACATTAACTGGCATCCAGTGGTCTAACATTCTTCCTTGCTTATAAAACGCACATTGTGTTCTCTGTTTTAGAGGAATTATTATGAACTAGGTTGTAAACATAAAAGCCAAGGTGTCATTTCCCTGTCATTATCCATTTGTCTCCATTATCAATGCTCTTTGAATTGTTGTCCTTATTCTGTTCTTACAAATGTCTAATGATTACAAAAGTCTAATCCTACAGCCTCCAGGAGGCTTCTGTTGCCCACACTACTACCAAGATTATCTCCTAAAATTATTAATATGAGGAGTCCATCATCTGCTAAAAGTGTTTCTCATTTGGGATGGCAAATCCTTCTTTTCCTCACTGTGAGCCAAAAAGGAACTTGGCAAGAATGGACATGTGTGACCTTGTTACTCATACACATATGGGTATGGTGTCAGATATGATTTCTCTATAAAATAGTTTACACACTATATTAGATTGAGTTCCCTGTTCAAGTAGAGTCTGATTTGTAATGTTGGTCATTTTTGCTAGCATCAAGAAAAAAAAACTAGGATGTCAGGTGCTGGTCTGAGAAGCAGAAGTAATTCAGTAAATTTTTATTTACAGCTATTAAACTTGACTAAATGGAAATGTATATGTTTTCTTCTGTAAGTTGATGCTTAGGATTGAAATTCTGGGCCCAGGGTATAGGTGCTTGATGGGAAATATTAGGAAAATCTGACATTGAAGCAATGTTCTTTGCTGCATTTAGAGTACAGTTTGGCTTGATCTCTCTCTCTCCCTCTCCCCCTCCTCTCTCTCTCTTTCTCTTTCTGTTTCTCTGTCTCTGTCTCTGTCTCTCTCTCTATTTTACACACACATATATATATATATATGTATGTATGTATGTATCTTCTGGTATTGGACTTGACCTCAGGGCTTTGTGTTCACTCAGTTTTTTTTTTTTCTCACAACTAGTGCTCTACCATTTAGGTTCTATGTCCAGCCTAACTTTTTAGTGATGAAGTTTCAAAGACTTTTCTGCCTGGGCTGGGTTCAATCTTCAATCCTGTAGATGTCCTGTTAGCCTCCTGAGAAGCTAGGATTATAAATGACCTACTGGTATCCAGCTCTGGTTTGACTTTTAAGCATTGGCTATGACCTTCATGGTTTCTAGGACCAGTTTCTGATGTCCTTGTAGCTTAACATCTGCAAACACTAGACCATCTCTAAATTAAGCCTTATATTTTCCTCCTCTATCTACTTCCTCCTTTTTGATAATAGTAGAGAACCAGATTTAAAAGCAAATTTTAATTAGGGTTATGATAGCTAGAGAAGCAGATCCCAAAGAATTTTGCCTTAAGGAAAATGCAACTTGGAGCTGCTCTAAGAATTAATACTAAAATGAAACCAAGTAGACTCCAGTTATTGATCAAGGCAATTCTGTAACTGGCTTTGAGGTCATTGGGCTCCTCTGCAGCTTTTGTTCTCAAATTCTAGGTTGTGGCTACTCACAACTCTGCAAGCAGATAGAGTTGTTGAAAACAAAATAAAGCTAGAGTGCTTGGATTCACTGTGCTTATTCCACAGCCTTTGAAGATCCTGATAGTGCCGTCGATGACCGAGACAGTGACTATCGCAGTGAGACCAGCAATAGCATTCCACCTCCTTACCATACAACTTCCCAGCCCAATGCTTCTGTTCATCAGTTTCATATGCCAGTTCGATTGCCACAGCAGCTACTGCTTCAGGGCAGTTCCCGGGACTCTTGCAGTGATTCTATGCAGAGTTATGACCTCTATTATCCAGAGCGACAGGCCCTCAGGTGGGTATTGAGAGCAAAGTTCTCTTCTGCTGATAAAAGCTAACAAGAAGAATTTCGGTGCTTTGACTTGAGGTGGTAATGAAAGTATGATGGTCCAAGTTACACTCAGTATAGATTCTCAGCTTTTCTCCCACATATTTACATTTATACATTTCATCAAGAATACTTCATTTCATTTCAGTGGTTTTCAACTGGTGACCACAGTATGTACCCCTGGGTATATGGCTGAAAAGACATACTCCCCTAATATCCCACCTTGCATCTAGATCAGTAATTTTGATACTTTATCAAGAGTAAAACAAAACCCACAAATATTAAATGTTGGGATAACCCCTCCTATATAAATATTCCTAGGCCTTTCATAAGAGCACAATGCTCTTATTATAGCAGATTTGGTACTTTTGATGTGACTTTATTGATTTCTTAAATATATAAAATATTTACATGGTTAAATAAATTTTTATTGTTATTAAGGAGTTGTACAAAAGTGGTTAAATAAACTTTAAATGATAATACACAGAGAATCTTCACTCATACCTGTTACCTTTTTTTTTTTTTTTTTTTTTGCCAGTCAGTTGTGGGGCTTGAACTCTGGGCCTGGGCACTATCCCTCAATTCTTCAACTCAGGGCAAGCACTCTATCACTTGAGCCACAGAGCAACTTCTGGTTATCTAGTGGTTAATTTGGAGATAAGAGTCTCACAGGCTTTCCTGCCCACACTGACTTTGAACTGTGATCATCAGATCTCAGCCTCCTCCATAGCCTAAGGTGTGAGCCACCCATGCCCGCCATACTTGTTACCTTTTTCTGTTGTAGTTCCTTCCTGTCTCCTACTTCCCTTCCCATTGCTAGTTCTTTTTTTTTAATCCATTCCTAGTTCTTATGTATCCTTCTGTAGACCATTGTTATATTTCTGTAAATTGAAAATATAAGCCAGGCACTTTGGCTTATACCTTTAACCCTAGCTACTGAGGATCACAGTTCAAAGCCAGCCTAGACAGGAAAGTCTGTGAGACTCTAATCTCCAATTAATCAACAAAAAGCCAGTTATGGCTCAAATGGTAGAGTATTGGCCTTGAGAGAAAAAAAAAAGCTCAGGCCCTGAGATCAAGCCCTACACACAAAACAAGAAGTTCTATTTATGATGTGGAAAAACTATTTGACTGCATTGCTATATGTAACATTGATTAGGAATGTAGATTCTCTTTTCATGATTTTAGTTTGAATGTTTTTTTTTTGTTAGATTGGTGTTCTAATACTATTGATCAAGTATTTAATCTTGTAATTTACTTCTTCTTTTTTCCCGTCTCTCCTTTTTCTTTACCTTACTTTTCCTCCAATTTTAACCTCTTGCATCAGACAAGGCTTACAGGCTAAAAATGACAAAATTAGGATCATTTCAGCTTTCTCTGATAGTGACTATGAAGAACAAGCAAATGTCTACAAAGAGAGAGAAGGAAGCATATCACAAGATCTTCTAGAAAATAGTACCAGAAACTTGAAGGAAGCAGAGGTAAAAGAAATTAGAACATTTCTAAAAACTGATGAATACATCAGCCAACAAAAGCACCTAGAATACAATAGGAAAAAGATACCATCTCAGAGCCAACATACAGAATTCTCTACTGATCTTAATTTTGATCATCAGTTTGAAACAACTGCATTCTCTACATATCCTCAGAAATATAATTCAATAGATAGAAGAAAAAAGAAGCCCTCTAGTAAAAGACAGCAATATGACACGAAGACTAACTCCAAATATATATATCCTGATACTGAAAATTATGACCACATTGAAAAGAAGAAACAAAATTACCCAGCTTTGTACTCCTACAAAGATGGATTTTTGATTAAGAGTGGTACATGGACTACCAAGAGGGAAAGTCATGATCTGCCCTGTTGCTTAAGAAACTGTGAAAAGTTACATGGCTCAAACCAGCCTAACATTAATTTTTCTCCATTAGATATTGTTGAAGATTCTTCTAGTAGCACTTCTGAAGAATTCTTGTATTCCCCTATTTCTGATGAGCAGGAACATTCACTGTCTCCAACATGGGATCCATCCAGTATCCATCCTATGGAAGATTTTACTGAAGAATGTTATATGACAAATCCAACATTGCAATTACAAAGGATGAATTGTGATACAAACCCAGTTGGAGATCTGTTAAAGTGCTCAGTGGGAAAGCTAACTCCTTCTATTGAGGAACCCAAAGAAGACTATGTTGACACAATAGATGAGCTTCAGTGTTTGGTAGAAACTGTGTCAGAATATTTAGCAGAGAAGGAAGAAGAGATCAATAGATTTAGTTCTCTTCCCAAAACTAAAAAAACACACAAATGCAATAATACTGTTGATAATTCAGAACAGAAGATGCTTGGTGATCAAATACCACCTCTAACTAATATAAAGAATGACAGAGACAAAGCCATTTCTTTCTCTGAGCTGAGTGGAGTAAAAAATGCTGTTGGGTCTTTATTTAATTCACTAACAGAAAAGGTGGGGTCAGGCACAAAGCATTTATCAACTTCTGTGGAGAAACTAGTTTATTTAGTTCCAGAAAAAATAGAAACTCTTAATCAAACAGAGACAATTAATTTAGGATCGAAACCCAGTAATAAGTCAGTAGTAGAGAAGGATCTATCCATTCAACCTTCATTTTCCTTTCCAACAATTGATAATAAAGATACCAGCAGAAATGGCAAAACCTTGGAAAAAGAGCACACAAGCACCAAGAGTGAGAGTTTAAACTTCCAGGATGTAACAGAGACTACTAGAAGGGATTCAGTACCACAAAGTCAGAGTTCAGTTATAAAGTCTGTTTTCAGCATGTTAAATCCACTAAAGATCTTTTCAGAGAAAGAAGAGACCAAAAAAGAAGACCAGAGTAAGACAGCGAGGAAAGAAAGCTTTGTTGGTTTGGAATCAAATCAAATGGAAGCTATCTCTGTCAATCACAGTAGTAGCTTTGGTGCTTTATGTAAGAGTGATGAAACCCCAGGTTTCCAAATACAACCAACTAAAGATTTATTGTCCTCTCATGTTGCCAATGAACCTTCGAACATAGCAAGTTGTACAAGTAAGAAAGATAATATTGAGAGTTTGTTGGAAGGAAAAACCCCTGTAGATTTGTCTCTGTTGCCAGATCAATCAATAACATGTGCTAAAGACAATCCAGGACATCTTTGTATAGCCAGCAGTAGAACTGCAAATGAAGAGGCTACTTCAGAGCCATCAGAAGAGGACAAAATTACTGGTGATGATGATTTCCTTGAACCACTCAGAAAATCATTTAGCCATTTTTTGTTCACATCTCCTGAGACCTGTTCAAAGGAAACTTTGTCAGAGCCTGTGAAAACTCACCAGTTGGAGGAAGATGGAAGGGAAAAAAGCCCTAAGAAAGATAGTAATTCCTTTTCGTTTAGTGGAAAACTAAATATCCCATTTTTCAGAGTTCTTAGTCATTCTGAAAAGCAGCAGGATTTACAAGAAAAAGGAAGCATTTTTCCTTTGTTTAAGTTTCCTTTTACTGACAGTCATAGCACTGATAATGAACAGAGTTTTCATGGTTCAGCAGCAGCCACTAACAAAGAGATCCAAAGAAATTGCCATGAAAATGCTATACTTAGTTCAATAAAATCGAATTCAGTTCCAAATCATCTAGGGGAACTGGGTAGTACAGAAGAATTTAATAACATCCAGATAAATTATCCGGAAGATGTCAAACTTAGTAAAATGAAGTGTAGTTCAGTTCCAAATATTTATAAAGATCCGGGGAAATTCAGCAGTTCAGAGGAATTAAGTAAGAATGACCAAATGCCCTGTCCTGAAGATGCCAAACTTAATATAATGAAGTCTGATTCAGCCCCTAATATTAATGATTTTGAGAAACCTAGGACTATAGAAACATTAAATCCAAATGACCCTATAGCAGTAGAGAATGATGAAAGTACTATCTCTGGAGTTGTGCCCAAAGAACATAGAACCTCAGATCTTTCAGAAGAGCTGAAGGATTTTGCACAAGTGACATTTTCAGTAGCATCAGACTTTTCATTAGAGTTTATTTCAACCACCTCAAAATCTACTAGAGTTAATGAAGACAAAGTTGAGGATAAAACTTCCAAGAAAATCACACAGGGAGGTTTCTTTTCTGGTTTGCTTAATAGGTTTTCTTCTGAGAACTTGCCTACTCAACAAGAATTAAATATGACAAATGATGACTCCAGTCACAAGAGTGGTACCTCAAGTTTATTCTCTGGAATATTTAACTTTATATCAAATAGCAATATGAGTGATTATAAGCCAAATGAAATAAAGGTTGTTTCTTTAGACAGTATAAAAAGTTTGAATGGAAATAAGCATTTATCCTTGGATGAGGTCTCTACTGCATCATGTGCGACTATTGAAAAGCTGAGGAACCAGGTTGAAAACCATAAAACTTCTGGTTTCCTAGGAAGCATTTCATTATCTAAAGAAAACACACCATCATCTGATAATTGGGTCCATAATCATCATTGCTCTCCAGCATGGAAAAGCCAGCAAGATGAAAAGCAGTGTTCCTCTTCGGAGAATGCAGTATTTCATTGTGCTCCCAGTTCTGAACCATCTTTCTCAGAGAATTCTTTGGCTAAGAGGCCAACACTAGACTATCTTCTTCAAGAAAAACCACACGAAAGTTCAAATATGTTAAATTTACATGCACTAGACACTAGCACTTTAAATAAGCCAAACCACTGTCAGGCTTTTGAAGAGATGAACAATTCTTTATGTTTTGAATGGGACTGTAATACAAAAGATTTTTCTAAAAATTCCAGAAAACTCCAACCAGTTTATCATACATTGAATCAAAATACATTTCCATCAGCAGATGCTTTCTTGTGGCCTGACTCAGAAAACCCAGTAATAAATTTTTGCCAAAAAGATCAAAATGCAAATATCTTGGAATGGAGAACAAATCCAAACAGTGTCATTTGGTGTGACTTACCATATGAATCATCTGATCAGTTAGCATTTAATGAAGATTACTTATTAAGAGGTGATATGTGGGCAGCTAATGCATTATATGGAAATTCTGGTTATCTCTCAAATAATGAGACTAAGAATTTGCCAGAAGAATTACCCATCGACTTAAGTTATGCTTCACTTTATGAGAAAACTATGTGTTCCATAATTGATCAAGAATCTTTAAGAATGGAAGAAAACTTTATCTTTTCAAATTTTGATTATGAGTACCAGGAATGGATGTCATGCCTTGAAAATGGCATCTGGTTGTCCTCAGAGGATGGGAATTATGGATATTATATGTTCCATGATGGTCAGTATATCTATTCTCTCCTCACTGATTCTACTGGTCAGTATGTGTATTTATTTATACCAGATTATTCTTATGGAGAATATTTGGATTATGATTTACAGACAAATAATCTGACAAGTATGATGTTTGATGACAGCATTATTTCTGCCCATAGTTTTCAAGTACAGGACAAAGAAGATGAAATATTGTGGTATGTGGAAGAAAGACCAGCTGATAACCCTCTTGATTTATCTGTAGCTTTTCCAACAAAAGAGAGATCATTGTATGTAAATTTAGAAAAGTTTTCACAAGTACTAGAAGAGTCAGCTTTTGGCCAAAGGGATCAGCCATTAGATTATTCAGACTATAATCCTCAGAAGTTTAAAGGAGATTTTAAATCTTTCAAAAAAAGGACTAATAGTTCTGGAGATCTTGAATGCATACTGGATCTCAGAAATCACCCCCAAACTATTAGTAGTCATGTCTTAAATAGAGATCAAATTATAGGGAAAGCTAAGAACTGGCCTCTAGCTAAAGATGCATCTGCTCACCTTTCCACTTGCCATTGGCTTCCATCTTCTTCTAAAGAAGTTACCTCTTCAGTTCATTCTCAAACTATGATTGGAGGCTCACAGCAAGCTGACAAAACATCAATGAATAATCTGACTCCAGTGTTTTCTGTTTTGGGTGCCTTGGTTGGAAGTTCTTTGAATTTTGCTAAGAATGAATCTTTAGAGACTTTGGTCATGCCAAAATTGGATCAGCAGTCAAAATCAGTAGAGCTCACAAATGATGATCATCCACCATTAATCTTGAGTAAGCAGTTACAGAATAATTCCCAAAAGGAAGAAGAAAATTATCTTAAAGATCCAGAGAGACAAACAATATTTGATGTTCAACAACCAGAGCTTACTGAAAATGTAAGGCAAGGATTCCTTTTAAATAAGAGCAGTCATGTGAAAAAGCAAAGATTGCTAAAATCTAGTTGTCAGGTAAGTCAAACTACTCTTCAATCTAAATCAGATATAGAAGATGATAAAACCATTACATCTGACTCAATTTCAGATACTCTTCCACTACAGTTTAGTAGGGAGGAACACAAGAATTGTGAGCTTTCCCAGGACCAATCTTCCAAAGAGTCTGAGAAAACTTTGTTTAAAAGTGCATTGAAACTTTTTGGTCGGCGAGAAGAATCTTCAGTAATGATGATGACAGATGAAAAACAGCCACCTGGCTTTTTGAACCTCTTTAAAACCCAGGTGAATAAAGAAGAATCATCAAACGTGGAAAGGAATGGTGATAAAACTAGGAAGCCATTATCTCAGGAGAAGAAAGAATCATCTGGTGTTTCAAATTTTTTTGGTACCCTTGGAGATTTCTTTAAAACCAATGTATCTCCTGTACAAAAGACTGAAAATATAACTATTTCTTCAATGATTGATGAAAATGAGGTGAGGTCAAGTCCTAATCCTGTTCAGCTAAAGAACCAGAATAATGGGAATATTCCTCCTGCCACAATTTCCTCTAAAGGAAAGGTTAGAGTTAGAAGTTTAAACAAACAGACTACTATTGATTATAGTGAACCAAGGGAATCATCAACTAGAGATATACAGGGTTTGGATTTGAATGAAAAAGAGGTACCCTTTAGAGATCAGCAGTCAACAGATACATCTTTTTTAACAAATAATCTCCAAGAGTCTCCTAGAGATACTTCAAAAGAAACTAGTGACATGTCTGCAATGACAGCAGCTCTGAAGTCTTTTGATAATCCTAGCCAAAGAAATTTAAATGAACAAAATCATTTTCATGACAAAGACTGGAGTTTTTCAACTGCCACAACTTCTCCATCCCAGCCAGAACTGCCAACAAGAAAAAGTGTATTTTCCTTCTTAACTAGATCTGAAAAATATGAGGACAGAGCCTCTGCTCCTCTACCAAGAGCCAAATCTCAAGCAGAAGGGCTATTCACACTTCCTTCCTTTTTCTCTGCCAGTAGGTCAAGCATCAAGAAGGATACCTCTCATAATAGTTCTGCCTTTAGTTTGTTCAACTTATCATTTTTGGATGAAAAACAACAATCTCCTGGGGAAAAACAAAGTGTTTCACCTGGTGTTCCAGTGATTACTCAGCCCTGTAAGAAGCCAAGTGTTTTTGTAGACACCAGTGACACATTGACTAAGGAAAGGCCCAGTAGTCATAGAAATAGCATAGCCCAGGAAGAAGTTTATGAACAGCAAACACCCCCTTGTACTTCCATTAGTAATACCATTGAGGTTACTTCTTTTGCACATGAGCCCAATGTAGAGGGAAATTTGAGTTCTAGTAATGAGCTAGGAACATCTTCAGATTTTCAGTTGAATCACTTACAAAAAGACATTGTTTCTCCTCTACCAGAATTTCAGGCACAGGAAGACATTGTTTCTCCTTTACCAGAATCTCAGGCACAGGCTAAAACATTGCTTATTGGCCCAGAGACCCTTGGTGAAGCTCCCCATAAAGATGAGGCTGTCAATCAGAGTGCTTTACCCGATGACATACTGGCCAACTCTTTTTCTCATGAGAACCATTTGAATGGAAAGCTCAATGATTTAGATGCTTGTACTGAACACCAGAATGAAAGATTTATCATAGACACATTAAATTTACCACTAGAAAAGGGCCCTGATGAGGTCTTACCACAGATCTTCAAACCAAGTGCAGCTTCTCCAGTATCAGAATGTGCAGGGCGCCTCCAGATTCAAGAAGTAGATAAAGAGGAAGACAAATCAGGCTCTACAGTAGAAATGCTTTCAGGATTTGTGACCAAAGTGAAATCTTTCTCTGAGTGCTTAATTGAACCCCCTAAAACCTTTTCTGGATTTTTCTCCCCTAAATCTCCAAAGAAAAATTCAATTTTTTCTCTTTCTTCTAATACATCATCACAGCCCTTCAAAAGTGAGTTGTTTGGTATTTTCAGAAGTCCCAAACCAGAGATACCTAAACAAAACTCATCTGTAGCTACATCCTTGCTTCAAAATGGTCATTCTAGAGATGCTGTGGTCTCAACACCTACAGAGTGTTTGCATAGAGAAGCTACCTCTGCAGGACTCAATTTAGATTTAACTTCCAGTGACTGTAGAATGTCTGGGATTAATGTAAAGCCAGAATCAATTACTGTGTCAGCCAAAATGGAAACAAATAATATTCCTGAAAATATTCCAGAACCCCCAAGTTTTGAGATGGCTGCTACATCTTCTGTCTCAGAGGATGACATGGGGCAAGGAGTATTGTCTCTGAGTGATGAAGGAGACATGGGGATTTTGCAGGGTACAGACACAGAAGCATCATTGGAAACAGATCAAATATTACTGCCAAAACAGTTGCACTCAGATCCTTCCATGATTGGTGAAGATCTTTCTTCTCCAAGCCAATTACCACTTCTTGAACCAGAGCCAGCTATTCAGACTATCTCCACAACTCAAAATTTCTTAGAGTTGCATTGTACAAATTCATTGGAAACTAATATTACATTTGACAAAGCAAGTGTCAGTGAGAGCACCACACTGAAAACTCAAGAGTCTTATTCTTGTCCTCTGCAGGAGGACTCTGTGCTTGGTGTCAGAGAAAATGGTGCGATACATACTGTCCAGAAAGACAAATCTATAGTCCCCCAGGAATCAGAGCAACCAAGACCTCCATTAGAGATCCCAACCATGACCAGTTGGCCTAAACTCCACTTCCCTTCCTCCACTGCTAATCATGGGAAGACACTGAGTTCTTTCTTTTCCTCACCACCTTCTGGCAACAGAGCAGCAGACACTGGCTTAATGTCCAGTTTCAAAAAGTTGTCAACTTTATTTGAGGGAAGTAGCGAGGGGAAAGGAAGTATGTTGGCAAGTGATCTCAAACTAGGATTTGGAAAGAAACTGGATCTTTCATTTCAATGGCCAAAAGAGAATAAAGAGGACCCTGAAAAAATGCTTGCAGAATCCACCTGTCCAGTTTTAGTTATCAGTGGTGATCAGGACCTGACTCCCAGTGAGGCTAATATAGCTTTGGAGTCTTCAGAAATAACTGGGGCTTGTGCTGAGCCAAATGAAGCCTATACTCAGCACTTTGGGACCACTGAACAACTGGAGGCCAAGTCAAATGTGTGTGCTGATGGGCTTTCAGAGCCTGGAGAAGCAGAAAGTCAGCTGGAAATTCCAGCATCTGGAGAATTCTGTGGTACCAAGGTCAACCTTTCTGGCTCTACCTGTCCTTCAGAGAAGCATGAGGAAGAACACTGCACTATTTTTGAGCTACTTCACAAGCCAGAAAAACAAGAAGAGGAAGTAGTGCCTGCTAGTACTACCTCTGTTTTGAATGTACAGCAGCTAGTTACTCTGAATGACTTCAAGGAACCGATGACCAAAAAAAGGCCTGTTCTCAAGTCAAGCATCATAAATGGTTTTAAGGAATTGACCATTTATGATGCAAATGTCTTAGTGGTAGATTATGGTAGCTTGCTTTTTATCCTTCATGTGTCTTTCCTATTACCTGAATTCCATGTTAATTAGAGGGTTGGTGGTAAGAACTAATGTGTGAATATTTTCATCCTTTCCCTTCTCCCTGGTACCAAAAGTAGTTTATTTGCTTAAAGGAGAGGCTGTGCCCTTCCTTTAAGATACTCTAGTTTGAGATTTTTCACGCTAGTTTGCTCTGCCTTGTATAATGTGGAATGGAGAAGAGAGGGCAGAGAGGCTCCAAGTATTTAAGTGACATATTAATTACAACTACATTATAGGAATAGGCTGCTTCATTGGACCTTAGGTACTTACATAATAGATGGGGAAAGACCTATTTTGCTTTGATTTTCTAAGTTGCTTCCAATAAGCTTCTGTATCTCATCCTGTAGATGGTGAGAAACTATTGAAAGGGCATATCAATTCTTCTTTACTAAGACATAGCAGACATAGCCATACACATTTACAGTTGTAGAGAAGTAAATGAGGACTTAATTTATTAAATAATAGAAAATTGGATTGTAGTTTATTTTGGCATTTTTACTCTGTGATATTAGAAAACTTTTTTATCACAGCTATTGGATAGGTTTCTTTTTTTTTTTTTTTGGTCGGTCGTGGGGCTTGAACTCTGGGCCTGGGTGCTGTCCCTCCGCTCTTCAGCGCAAGGCGAGCACTCTACCACTTGAGCTACAGCGCCACTTCCGGTTTTCTGGTGGTTTATTGGAGATAGGAGTCTCATGGTCTCTCCTGCCCGGGGTGGCTTTGAACCGTGATCCTCAGATCTCAGCCTCCTGAGTAGCTAGGATTACATGGATAGGTTTCTTTAGAAGACCACATTAAGAATTTAGGAATAAGCAGTAGGGCATTTAATATTAATCCTAATCACAAATAACATAGGTAAAATATTGTTACTTGGGCATGTCTCAAGTGGTAGAGTAGTTGCCTAGCGAGTGCAAGGCCCTGAGTTCAGTCCTTTGTACTGAACAAAAAAGAATGAAAAGCAAGGAAAGGATTGAGAAAAGGAAGAAGGAAGAAAGGAAAGGGAGGAAGGAAGGGAGAGACATGGAGTGGGGAGGGACAAAGAAAATCCTTCCAAGTCAAGAGCAGGGTGCTATTGGAGAACCAAGCATATTGTGTTTGTGTCATATCCTGTTGTGATCTGCTGAATAGAGATTAAATTTTTGTAGATTGTGAAGTTTGGTTCTCTAAGTAGAAACCTCCTGTTTGTGATTGCTACCCAAATGTAATTATCTCATGGACTTACCCATACTTGTGCCCTGGTTCCCAGTTTGCATTTATTCACTCATTTGTCATCTTCTCATTCTCACAGCCCCACCAGCAGTAGTAGGTATGGCTCTTCCTGTAATGTGAGTCAAGGAAGCTCTCAGCTGAGCGAACTAGACCAGTATCCTGAACAAGATGATGATCGTCGGGAGAGGGACTCCATTCATTCCTGCCACAGCTCTGGTAGCCTCTCCAGAGATAGCAAGCCCAATTTTGGAGAACAAGAGAAAGCCTTGGAGGTGACATGTGAAGCAGAAAAAGAGAGAATATGTGAACTCAAGGAGATAAAAGAAGATGCTACAATCCATCCTCCCTCAGATCTGATACTACACAAGGACCACATTGTAGGCCCCCAGGAGAGGTAGGTGATGCTTACTCACGTGCTTCCTAACTACTTGCCCTGTGGTATCACTTACTCATTTGTTTTACTGAAAATGAGTATGGTAGAAGGTAAGATACCCATACTCAATTGCACAGTTTCCTTTTATTTTTGATTAATTATGGATATTTTGGGGTATCTCTAAAGAACACTTGGGTTTGTTGTATTTACTGATCTGCAGTGTTAGGACTCATTGAATATGCAGGGTTGTTTTTTTGTTTTTTGGCTGGCCCTGAGACTTAAACTCAGGGCCTTGGTGCAGTCCCTGAGCTTCTTTTTACTCCAGGTTAGGTGCCCTACCACTTGAACCACTTCCAGATTTTTGGTAGTTTAGTGGAGGTAAGGGTCTCATTGACTGTTTTTGAACCATGATCCTCAAATATCAACCTTCTGAGTAGCTAGGATTATAATCATAAGCCACTGACAGTTTTTTTTTTGTTTTTTTTTTTGGGTCCGGTCGTGGGGCCTGAACTCTGGGCCTGGGCGCTGTCCCTCAGCTCTTCAGCTCAAGGCTAGCGCTCTACCACTTGAGCCACAGGGCCACTTCCGGCTTTTTTCTTTTTGCCTATGTGGTGTTGAGGAATCGAACCCAGGGCCTCAGGCGTGCAAGGCAAGCGCTCTACTACTGAGCCATCTTCCCAGCCCAGATAGCCTCATTTCTTTTTTTTTTTTTTTTTTTGGGTCTGGTCGTGGGGCTTGAACTCTGGGCCTGGGTGCTGTCCCTCAGCTCTTCAGCTCAAGGCGAGCGCTCTACCACTTGAGCTACAGCGCCACTTCCGGTTTTCTGGTGGTTTATTGGAGATAGGAGTCTCACGGTCTCTCCTGCCCGGGCTGGCTTTGAACCGCGATCCTCAGATCTCAGCCTCCTGAGTAGCTAGGATTACAGGCGTGAGCCACCAGCGTCCGGCTAGCCTCATTTCTTTGGGTACTTTGGCTGTCTTGCTAACCTATTAATATTTTAGCTTATTTTGTGAATGATATTGTTCTGTTTTTTTTTTTTTTGTCTTGTTTTGTAAAGCCAGGGTAGTTATAAAAGACTTGATCTAGGAGACAGACTTAAACTCACTCTTTTAGTTCCTCATGATATGGCAGTGAGTAAGAAAAAAACAAAAAAAATTTTTTTTTTGTTTGGTGGGATTATGTATGCCTAAATTCTGAGAGATCAGGGTATCAAATATCAATTACATGATCAAAGGAATGTTAGTGCTTTTACTTTACCATGGATTATTGGATGAGTCACATACCTTTCTGAAGCTATAATTTACTTTCTTTTCATTTTAACCCCTCCCTTCTTTTTGAGCAGGGTCTTGTTATATAGCACAGTTAACCTTAAATTTCTAGTCCTCTTGTTTCTGCTTCCCAAGAGCTGAGATTCCAGGCATGTTCCACCATGCCTGGATCATTCTTAGTTTTTAGTCATCTTTTATGGCTCATCTAATAGGTGAGATGGTCAGGTGACAGAGCTCTAGCCCAGCCTTTTCATTGGATTGATAACTCACTGAAAGACTGGTTCTTTGTGGACCTTAAATTTGGCAGTTAAATGGTCAGGGCTGAAGTTCTTGGTAGAGAAGTGGATATGTCCAACATGAGTACTTGCTCTTTTCTACTTGTGTCTTCTCAGGACCTAGCTGTGTACATGAAGCCCAGTTCTATTTTGGCCAGACCTACTTTCGAGTGTTTTAGAACACTGAATTCATGTAGATGGTATCAGAGCCTAGGATATATTTTGCATACACAGGTGGTAGATATTTGTCTGCTACCTTAGCTATAGGGTCCAATGGGAGGAAGGAGAAGCATTATTACTAAATTAAGAGCCTGGGTGATTACTTGTTCTAATACAAAGTAGAGTTTCTGTCTCAAATAAATTTTATAATATTTATTGTTCATTTTACAAAGATGTCCCTGAGGAAGCTCAAGGAACACAATCATGACAAGCTGTGATTTTCTTTCTTGGCACTTTTTATGTAGTCTCAGTGTTGGTAAGTCTTTCAAAATGCTTAGTGAAGTAGGAAGGATTTGTAGGAATAAAATTTTGCTGTAAAAAAGCTATGAAAGGGGCTGGGAAGGTGGCTCAGTGGTAGAGCGCTTGCCTTGCATGCCTGAGGCCTTGGGTTCGATTCCTCAGCACCACATAAAAGAAAAAAGCTGGAAGTGGCACTGTGGCTCAAGTGGTAGAGTGCTATGCCTTGAGCTGAAGAGCTGAGGGACAGCACCCAGGCCCAGAGTTCAGGCCCCACAACCGGACCCCCTCCCCCCCCCCCAAAAAAAAAAAAGAAAGCTATGAAAACCTCTAGTGGAGGCTGGTGGTCTCCAAAGAGGGATTGAAAAGGTTATTGTTATTATTATTTTGGTCCAGTAGTAGGGCCTGAACTCTGGGCCTGGGCGCTGTCCATCAGCTCTTCAGCTCAAGTCTAGCGCTCTACCACTTGAGCCACAGCGCCACTTCCAGCTTTTTTCTTTTTGCTTATGTGGTGCTGAGGAATCGAACCCAGGGCCTCATGCATACAAGGCAAGTGTTCTACCACTGAGCTACCTTCCCAGCCCGTAAAGCTTATTTTATACTTCTCTCTCTCTGCTGGGTTTCTAGTTTTGACATTGACTCAGGGCCCTTACCATTTCTCCCTTTCCAGTGAGCCACCTCATTGAGTAAATGGGGAAAAAAAGAAGAGTGGGAACAGATGAAAGCTAAAAGGAGTTGTCATTTAGAGAAGAATTGTTTTTACATTAAGTATTCAGAAGAATCACTAAACAAGTATAGGCATGATTACAAATGTTTTATTTTAGATACTTTGCAATTTTGACTTCAGTTCTGTTACCTTGTGGCCTTTTAACTATTTTTAAGAAATATTCTTCTTTGTTACAAGTCTTCCTGAGGAGAATGCATCTTCACCATTTACCCAAGCCAGAGCGCACTGGATCCGAGCAGTTACCAAGGTCCGACTCCAGCTGCAAGAGGTAGGAATTCTGTTTCAATAATGGTTGGGAAAATTTTTCTTTTGAAAATGGTAGACATATGGTGCTGGAGAAGCTTCTCAGTGATTAGTCATCTTCTTACATGTACTTCTGGGAATGCATGACAAGCCAGAGCTTTAAGAGATGGGAGGTAGCCTTAATTTTTTTCTGTGCTGATTAAGAGAAATTAAATAGAAGGTGAGAATTTGAAATTTGAAGTTCTATGCTTATTCTCAGTGCTACCATCTCTTTGTTGCTATTTTAGTTTGAAGTTAGGATAGAGGACTATTTCACAGTCTCTTAGTTTGACTGTTATTTTTCTTAGCCAGCCATTTCAAATACTACTGTCCTTATCTGTCCTTCTCAGTATGTCAGTAGATAGGAGATCTTCTTGCTAAAAGGATGTTTTTAAATGACAGGTGGCTGCTACTAGTATAAAACTTGGCAGATATTAAAAATGAAAAGCAAACTCACATGTGTAAATATACTCTTTAAAAATTAATTCAACACTTAAGGAAAAGTTGCAAAAACAGTGGCATCATAATGCATCAGTCTTTTTTTTTTTTTTTTTGTCGGTCGTGGGGCTTGAACTCTGGGCCTGGGCGCTGTCCCTCAGCTCTTCAGCTGAAGGCGAGTGCTCTACCACTTGAGCTACAGTGCCACTTCCGGTTTTCTGGTGGTTTTATTGGAGATAGGAGTCTCACGGTCTCTCCTGCCCGGGCTGGCTTTGAACCGCGATCCTCAGATCTCAGCCTCCTGAGTAGCTAGGATTACAGGCATGAGCCACCAGCGCCCGGCGCATCAGTCTTTTTCTAAACATTTGAGAGACAATTGGAGACATGATATTTGATCACTCCCAAATATCTCTCATATTTCCCTAAGAATAAAGAATAGCAGAGGTATGTTTAGCATGGTAAAACTACTGATTATTAGTTGTCATAGGAGAAAGATAACCAGATTTTAGATTGTGCCATTTATGTTTAAGATGAGATTTGCTGGCAGCCTGGTTGAGGGATTCCCTTTCCACCTAGTAATTGAACTTCCATCCATGTTTCCCCTTCCCCTTCTACCTAAGATGATGATTTTAGTTAATTATCATTGTAATTTTTATGCAAACATAAACATATGAATATATACTCTGATTCCCCTTTTGTATAGGGTAGTGTATTATACATGAGAGTGTATTTTGCCTTTTTGCTTCTCTTTCAGCACTAAGAGCAATTTTTATTTTTATTTATTTATTTATTTTTTGCTTGAACTCTGGGCTTGGGCGCTGTCCCTCAGCTGTTTAGCTCAAGGCTAGCGCTCTACCACTTGAGCTACAGCGCCACTTCTGGTTTTCTGGTGGTTTATTGGAGATAGGAGTCTCATGGTCTCTCCTGCCCGGGGTGGCTTTGAACCACGATCCTCAAATCTCAGCCTTCTGAGTAGCTAGGATTACAGGCGTGAGCCACCAGCGCCCGGCTTAATTTTTATTTTTTTATAGCTGCATAATATTCTATAGTGTGAATGTTCTACAGTTATTTACCTACTATTGATATTCATTTGGTTATCTCAAGTCGTTTGGTATATCAAGATATTTTATAAACGAGACAACTTTTAAGAATGCCATTTCATATGTATACAAATATATCTAAGGAATATGCACTTTAAAATTTTGATACATAATGCCAAAATGCTATTTTTCAGTATCTTTTTTTTTTTTGTCAGTTGTAGGGCTTCATCTCGAGGCCTGGGCACTGTCCCTCAGCAATTCAGTTCAAGGCTAGCACTCTACCACTTAAGCCACAGCACCACTTCCAGTTTTTTGGTGATTAATTGGAGATAAGAGTCTCATGGACTTTGAACCATGATCCTTAGATCTCAGCCTTTTGTGTAGCTAGGATTACAGGCATGAGCTACTTTTCAGTATCTGAAAGCAAAACAAAACAAAACTAAGGGGCTGGGAAGGTGGCTCAGTGGTAGAGCGCTTGCCTTCCATGCATTCGGCCGTGGGGTCAATTCCTCAGCACCACATAACCAAAAAGAAAAAAAGCTGGAAGTGGCACTGTGGCTCAAGTGGTAGAGTACTAGCCTTGAGCTGAAGAGCTGAGGGACAGTGCCCAGGCCCAGAGTTCAGGCCCCATGACCGGACCCAAAAAACAAAAACAAAAACTTGCTTCTTGTTCACGCTATATATCATATCAAAGAGTTCAGCTTTTGTGTTATTGTCTGTGATTCAGGCTGATGGAGTAATCAGCTTTGGGAACATTGCCAGTCATAATGGTAAAGGGAAAGTAAAGATAATAAGAAAATAAGACACAGCCCCACTCTGCTTTTTGGCAGTTAATTGGAGATAAGGATTTCTTAGACTTTATTGCCCAGGCTGGCTTCAAATCACAATCCTCAGATTTTATCCTTCTGAGTAGCTGGGATTACAGGCATGAACCATGAGCTGGTATGCCTTTCTTTGTATTTCCATGGATTCTTGGAATGTCAGGGCCATCCTTTTTATTGCTGACATTCTAGGGCCCTATGTAGACTTGGTGTAATATATTTAACCAATATTTTATGACTGTTTTGTTTAGTCGGAATTTTCCCCTTTAGACCTTGATAGAAACTTCTAACAATTTGATGGAAGGCTGATAGCCCATTGTTTTAATTTTCATTCCTCTAACTATTTGTGCTTCAAAAACTTCTCAAAAGTTTATAGTCGGGGCTGGGTAGAGCGCTTGCCTTGCATGCCTGAGGCCCTGGGTTTGATTCTTCAGCACCATATAAGCAAAAAGAAAAAAGCTGGAAGTGGCGCTGTGGCTCAAGTGGTAGAGCGCTAGCCTTGAGCTGAAGAGCTGAGGGACAGTGCCCAGGCCCAGAGTTCAGGTACCACGACTGGACCCAAAAAAAAAAAAGTTTATAGTCATTTGTAGTTGGCTGATATTGTATTAGATACACTTTGAGAAACTGCCAAAGCTGCACTTAAATCATTCCTATAAGATTGGCAACAACTTGAGAGAAGAGATTATATAGGGTCATTTCTGTATCCTCTGAAGCACCTGGGCGTATGCACTTAATAAGTGTTTGATGACATTGTTAATGCTGATGAAGCAGTAATGTGGGTAGTGTGGGTGGAAATGGATATGAATCTGTACCTTATTTGGTTTAGCTGCAGAAAAATCTGGGGGAGGAGGTGAGACTTTTAGCTCTAGAAACAGAGACTGCCATGGCAGCAGGTGGGTGGGTGTTCCAGGTGGAAGGGACAGTGAAGGAGAAGGAATGAGGATAGGCTATAAGGAAGGTTTGACAGGAACTCTTTGGCTGTTGAAAGTGAAGAAAAAGAGCCTTGGAAAGCAAGGACAGAACTGAGCAGATAAGTAGGTTTATGATTAAATGGAGCTATAACAGGAGATTCAATATTGCAGCAGGTCAGTCTGAGAAATGTATCATCATTTTCTCAGGTGTGATCACTAGGACCAAGAGCAAGTCAACCATGTCTGCATAGTTCTCTTCTAACCAGTACCTCTGTCCTAAACAGAGACTACCTATTTATCCTATAATTGAAGCCCTGAAAGAGAGAGGTCTCTTCTCTCCAGAAGGAGTATGAAGCTCAAAGATAACAGGACCCTATAGGAACCCACCTTTTAAGATTTAACAAGGAAAGCACCCTTTCCATTATCTTAAAAAGTCCAGGATTTTCTCTGATCTTGACCTCCTATCTTAATTTCCACTACAACTCTTAGCCCTCTAATCCCTCCTTTTCCTCATACTATTTCAACCGTCTCCCTACCATTGCTATTATAACACAAAAATATTAAAGATTGGAGAAAATGAGGGAGGGGGTAACAGTGTTCAAAAAGAAATGTAATCATTACCTTACTTATATAACTGTAACACCCCTGTTCATCCCCTTTACTATATATATATATATATATATATATATATATGTACACACATATATATGGAAAATATTAAAGAATGTCTTTGATGAGTAAAACATATGAATATATAAAATTAAAAAGGTATGTAATATAAAGTTTACCTCCTACTTCCTTTTAGTTATCTAAATTATATTGTTACCTGTCTGTGAAATAGTCCAGAGATAATCCACACATTTATAAGCATATGTATAAAATAAATGCATATGTAGGTACATTATACACACTTGCTTTACCTTGCTTTTTTTCATTTACTACTGTATCTTTGAATTTCTATTTAAGTACAAATAGAGCTACTGCTCTATTAAGAACTACATAGTTTTCTAGTAGCACAAATAGAACTACTGCTTTTTAAAATAGCCACATAGTATTTCTTTCTGTGGATGTGCTATAATTTATATATTCTGTCTCCTGTTGATGGATCTTTAAAATGTTGCTTTTACCCTCTTTATTTGGTTTGAATTTAGGGCTTCATGCTAGCACTTGACTCATCCCTACCCAGCCCTTTTTATTTTTTATTTGTTTTTGGATAGGCTCCCATACTTTTTTTCTGGCTGGTCTCAAACTGTTGTCCTCTTATTTCTGTCTTTTGACTAGCTGGGATTACAGATATGTACCACCAAATCCTTCCCCAAAAGGTGAATATTTAAAGATCATTCTTAATAACAGCCTGTGGCACTACTCTTAGAACTCTTAGTAAGTTTTTCCCAAGCACAGCTGTACTACAGCTTCATGGACCAGAGAAACCTCCCTCAAAGGGACCTAGATGTTGCCTTGGATGCTGACCGAGCCCTCACTTCCAGCAGGCTTTTTATCTTTTGGCCAATTGAATAGCTCCTACCTGATATCTGTGATCAGAAACAAAATATTTTCTACTTTCTGATCTTGACTGAAGCCTGGCTGTATTGTCAAGCACTTTTTAATGAAGGCAGTGCCTTTTTGTTTAAGTATTTCTAGGTCAGGAGTACTTAATGCTTGTTTTTCTTTGGCTTTCTCTGCCATTTCCAATTAATGTTTTCCACTTTTGATTACAATTCCTTTTAAAATATATGATCTAGCCAAGTGCCAGTGGCTCACGCCTGTAATCCTAGC